ACTTTTTCCAACAAAGGCAATCCCACACATCGAGCCCCATGTCCTCGAGCCACAATCAGACCCTATTATTTAGTTAACAGAAGTATACGACTGTATACTACTTACAGATCTGGGCTTCGTGTTAGCGTCTTTAATCGTGGGAATAACACTGGTTTCCAGATTAATCCAGTTTCAAGGTCACTGTAGTTCCGGAACAGTCGTTAGTTAAGTGTCAAACATGCAGTTCATACAACCACTAAAGACTCAGGCTGAGTTTACACGGAGACAATGTGGCAGTAAAACACTATAGTTGGATGTCGGTTGCTACCAACCATTCATACGGAGACTGTGTTCCAGGGGGGTGAAAACGTAAGTGTTCAGATCCAGCCTGCAGAGTGGGACAGCTCAGAAATACTGCTCAGCAGGGAGCTTTTTCACACCCGCGTGAAGGAAAAAGGTGTGAATTGTCTGCCTGCTCTGATCCCCGCACGTAAATTTGGACATGCGCAGTAGCCGAGAACAAACGTAAACAACAATGGCGGCGGGTACACTAACTAGCTACTTGTGCTTCCAGCGCGGCAGAGGAGGATTGTACTCCTTCGTTCGTCCAAACGAGACCACGCGAAGCTCTAGTTTCAGTTTCCATTTTCACAGCTGCTGTTAAAATGCAGAATGATGTTGGTGCGTTCTCAGGGTCTGGCACAGGAAGTGAGTATCAGTGCCGACATGTTGGCATGCTGGTGTTTTTTTCTTTTGTTAAGTTAAATAAAACACAACATTATAGTGATATGTCCGTCATATTGACGTAGTGTATATATTTATTCATTTCATTTTTGTAGTATTTTAGCCAATTATTGTTTATTTATTTTTTACATTGAATGTGCCAACGCTTTTTCGAATACACTGGAAATCATACCGTCTATTATTGACCCCATCCTATTTATAGGGTACATTTCTCCATCCACAGGCCACAGAACAATGGCATATAAACTTCTGCTGCAGGAGCTTGGGGGGTCCGCGCTGAGTCTCCGCGCTGGTCTCTCCAACGGATCTATTATGGGTCCGTGCTGGTCTCTCCTTGTGTTTGCGCTGGTCTCTCCAGTCTATGGTCTCTTCAGTCTGCAGTCTCTCCTCTGTGTGCGCCGGTCTCTCCTCGGGTCTGCATTGGTCTCAACGCTGGTCCGCACTGGATCTCCATCCAGGGTCCAAAATATTTTGAGATGCGAACAATTCAACGGCTTATGAGTGCGTTGATGTCCAGCTGATTCCCTGCTTTCTCCTGATTACTGTGGAATCCCTGTTTGAAAATTGTCAAGGGTATGGATATTATGGGATGTGGATGACGCTGAAATGTCTGTTTTTTGAAACATGGTTAAAAACGCAAACTTTTTTTTTCTCCACAAAATGCCACTTTTCAATTGAAAACTCATTCTCATGAGTTTGATTGTATTGGGTCTGTGGCCACTTGTGATAAAAATGTGACTAGGTAGCAGTTTTTTATTTCTTTGTGTCAGTCCGCTAATTGTTGAAGCCCCACTGGTCACTAAACTAAGAAACTTCCACTTCCACTGCACTGTTAGCCCGGATTTCATTTCTACTCAAACAAGCAATTTCAACATACATAGATAATTTAAGTTTGATTGTAGAACTATCAAATTTAAGCGCAGTCTACCAATTCGAAGTAGAATATACTTACATTTGAAAGTAATGTCATGAATGACTAACGCATTCAAGTAGTGTAGGAAGGTTCGGTTTTCCCGAGGTCATTTTTCGACTTTGTGGATGCTACAAAGAAGAAGTTTTATGTTTTAATACTCAAAACATTTAAAAAGACATGGTTATCCTTTTCCGGTGATAATTCACGTCATTATCAACTATGCAGAAACCCTTTTAAGCTTTTTATCAGTGATTTTATCCCAGACTTGTTGTTGTATACACCTTTTCGCGTGACGTCAGCACATGACCTAGCAACGCGCGCCGCCATTTCAAGAGGGGTATGCTTTTGCTTGACAACCGCCAATACCGCCAATGACCGCTGACAACACGAAGGAGATCTTGCAGTCTGGCAGATTTTTATTATACAATGCCCAAATCCTGTGTAGTATTTGGCTGTCATAACCACGCCTGGCAGAACGAAAAGATATCATTTTACAGAATACCTACAGAAAAAGGCCAGAAACGGAAATTGTGGATCCAAGCACTGAGGCGAACGAACGACGACGGAACTACATGGAGCCCGAAGTCAAAGTGGTCGTATGTCTGCAGTAGACATTTCGTTAATGGTAAGTTGTGAATTTTGGGGATCTAATTTCTTCCTGACTGATTTTATGACATAGATTATGAAATCGTAATTCATTCAGTAATGACTGCAATTCCTATGGTTAGTTAGCTAGCTAGGGCTAGGCTAATTAGAGGGCTTTCATGACGGGTTTACGTACATTGTGTAGACGCCAGGGCTGTTAATGAGGTACTCGTAAATGGCAGGCCATTGGAGATCTGGCCATGTTCTTGGGTCGTTTTGCCATGAACCTTGAGGTGCTTGGTATGGACACGATTCCAAACCAACCAGATGTAACTTTTCTTCATACCGGTGCTTGGCCTTTGGCTCTAATCTGCTGAAATATTCGTAAGACATTAACTAAGACCTTCGTGTTGTCCAATGTCCGTGGTAAATAGCGGTTGTCAAGTAAAAGCATACCCCTCTTAAAATGGCGGCGGGCGTTGCTAGGTCAAGTGTCCCGGATGCTGATGTCACCGCGAAAAGATGTATTCTACTAGTAGACTCTACAATACCTAAAATCACAAAAATATTGACTTGATATCAGGATTTATGCAAATAAATAACTCACTAATCTATTTTACTCTACATGGGCAGAGATTTACTACCTATCAGTGTTTGTGTGATTTTTGTCAGTCGGAAATTAATTTACCCGATTATTCTGACACCACTTGAATGCAGCAACCTGAAGGCATGTTGCAGCACGTCACTTCTCCTTCGTATATTTTCAACGGTTCGCTGCTGTTGTGTCCGAGAGACATTTTACAACTTGTTAGTTCTTTTTACAGCGAGGAGTAGTTTGTAAGCAGTGGAAACAGCAGTTCCACTACCGCGGACCCTGTAGCTAATTTTGTCAGTAAATAAGCCGTTGGCGCCGCGCTGCCCTGCCGGAGGACGTGTGCCTCGAGTGGAGTAGAGACGAAGAAAGAGGGCGACAGGAGACTGAATCTGGTGAGTGACCGACCACCACTCTGTGGTGGCTTTTGATTTTAAGTTAGCACTAGCTCGACTGTTAGAGCAGTGAAAAAACTTTATCATTAGCTAAACTAACCTGCTAATGTTAAGACACATTTGGCTAGCACTGTTAGCATTTTAACGGACACATAGCTTTAGTAGCTGTTTGTGAGCAGCTCCCGCTCAAACCTACATTTTGAATCTGCTCTTGAACCCTAACCTTCAGTGTTGTGGCCGGTTGAAAAGGTTGCTTAAACAGACATTTGAAGCTACTGTTTTTCAGCATTGGGATTTTTGCTCTTGCTACGGTAACTAGATATTTTTTGTGTACTTTTTCACTCTAGATAACTGCCATTAATTGTTAGTAAATCATCTGTAAAATGCTAACTGTATTCATGTGACCAGGCTGTGACATTGCAATGTGTATGTGACCCTCTTTACTTCCAGAGTAACATTACTTTTTAAGAAGTGAACGTCAAACAAATGCAGCTCGCGGAAATTCAATTTGGTAGACGTCAGCCAAAAGCTACCCCCTCCAGGCCGGTTCGCTTCCCCAGCCTATCGCACAGCAAACGCCCCCTTCCAATCATCCGTGCCGGACAGGCAGCCGCTTAAAAGCGGAGAAACTCCCACTCTCGGCCTTCTCGAAGCCTCGCAAGCCCTCGAAGCCTTGCAGAGAATAGTCTGGAGGAATCGTTTTCGTCTACTCACGCTACTCGGCGCGACCCTGGCGTCCTCCGTCTGGCTGCTTGTGGTCTGCTCCTCCTCCGCGTCCCTGCACTGGTCTGCTCCTCCTCCGCGTCCCTGCACTGGTCTGCTCCTCCTCCGCGTCCCTGCACTGGTCTGCTCCTCCTCCGCGTCCCTGCACCTGCTGTGGTTCGCATGTCTCCACTGCTCTCCTCCTCTGCGGGCTCTTTCTGCGGGCTGCTCCGCGGGGCCCTCCGCGGGTTCTGTGCTGCTCGTTCCTCGTGGTCTGCTGCCGCACGCTGAAGGTCTGGCGGTGCCATGCGTGTCCCTGCCTCGATTGGTGGTGCCGCGTTGTCCCGTTGCTTTTCCCAAGTCTCCTGGCATGTGTGTGTGTTGACCGCGGACGGATTAATCCCGGAGTCTGGGCTGCAGGCTTGGTTTTTACCCCGCGCACTTGACTGCAGGCGTCAGTTTCGCCCCGTGCTTGGTCTGCAGGCTTCGTTTTCACACGTGTTTGAGCTAACTGAGGGGCAATGCATATTAAATGGCATCAATCTCTATCGTCCGGGGATACAAGAGGCGCAATGTGCATTAATTCAGATTCTTGTTCTGCCACTCGCAGTTAAACCACGTCGGAAAAATCTGCAAGACTACCCCATTGTGCTCCAGACGGCACACACCAGAGCTCTTGCCACGGCGCCATATTTACAGCATAATCTCATTACTCGTAGGTCACTATTGTTAACTCTTTCAGTGCCAATGACGCATATTACGTCAATTCTAGATCTATGCTTGTGTGCCATTGACGCATTTTATGCAATTGACGTGTTTTGGTGTATTCAGATCCAGACGCATCCATTCTATCATATATCTCTGATCGGGACTGTTTGACAGTATTTTATTCGGCCAGCAGATGTCAGTAGCGTCCTTTAGCTCTTCGATCAGGCATAAAAGGAACCGGATGCCCAGATCTCATTGTGGGAGTAGGTTGGTTAGAGTGAGCACACGAGAGTAATCGGGAGAGCGAACATGAGCAGAAAGCGGCAGCTAACGATGGAGGAGGCGTTTGGTGCTGGTGGTACCATCAGAAGGTCGGTGGGTGATGGCCATGATGAAGGTGGAGGTGATCTGCCTCGGCCTTCAGTTGGCAAAAAGCCTGAGGCTACGGCTAAAGCTACTGCTAAGCATCTGGCCGTTGGCGGGAGTCCTTGCCGCGCACGTCGCTCCAGAGCCGCCGCGCGCAGTTCTAGTGGTCCACGTCGGTCCAGAGAAAGTTCCTCGTCGGATACAGGCTCTTCAGAGCTATGGGAACCTGAAGCTGACCCAAACAGCAGTGACTCATCCCCCGATTCCCCCAGAGCAACCGGCAGAGCAGGTAAGGCATACATTATCCATCCATCCATTTTCTTCCGCTTTATCCGTTGCCGGGTCGCGGGGGCAGCAGTCTAAGCAGAGACGCCCAGACTTCCCTATCCACACACACTTCCTCCAGCTCGTCCGGGGGGACCCCAAGGCGTTCCCAGGCCAGCTGAGAGACATAGTCCCTCCAGCGTGTCCTGGGTCTTCCGCGGGGCCTCCTCCCGGTGGGACGTGCCCGGAACACCTCCCCAGGGAGGCGTCCAGGAGGCATCCGGAACAGATGCCCGAGCCACCTCAACTGGTTCCTCTCGACGTGGAGAAGCAGCGGTTCTACTCCGAGCTCCTCCCGTGTGACTGAGCTCCTCACCCTATCTCTAAGGGAGCGCCCAGCCACTCTGCGGAGGAAGCTCATTTCGACCGCTTGTATCCGCGATCTCGTTCTTTCGGTCATTACCCAAAGCTCATGACCATAGGTGAGGGAGGGAACGAAGATTGACCGGTAAATCGAGAGCTTTGCCTTTCGGCTCAGCTCCCTCTTCACCACAACGGTCCGATACAGCGACCGCATAACTGCGCACGCTGCACCGATCCGCCTGTCAATCTCACGCTCCATTCTTCCCTCACTCGTGAACAAGACCCCGAGATACTTGAACTCCTCCACTTGAGGAAGGACCTCTCCACCCACCTGCAGAGGGCAAGGCACCTTTTTCCGGTCGAGCACCATGGCCTCGGATTTGGAGGTGCTGATTCTCATCCCAGCCGCTTCACACTCGGCTGCAAACCGTCCCAGTGCATGCTGCAGGTCCTGGTTCGTTGGAGCCAACAGGACAACATCGTCCGCAAACAGCAGAGATGAAATCCTGTGGTCTCCGAACCGGACCCCCTCCGACCCCTGGCTGCGCCTAGATATTCTGTCCATAAATACAGTGAACAGAACCGGTGACAAAGGGCAGCCCTGTCGGAGGCCAACATTCACCGGGAACAGGTCTGACTTACTGCCGGCAATGCGAACACAGCTCTGGCTCCGGTCATACAGGGATTGGATGGCCCTCAGCAGAGGACCCCCGACCCCGTACTCCCGGAGAACCCCCCAAAGGACACCCCGGGGAACACGGTCGAACGCCTTCTCCAAATCCACAAAGCACATGTGGACAGGTTGGGCGAACTCCCATGAACCCTCGAGTATCCGATGAACCGATACTTTTATTTCATTTAGCAATGAAATAAAAGTATTCTTGTATAATTCTCATGATTGTATTTGTGTGTATTTCTAGTAAGCAGAGTGCTGGCCCAATCCAGGAGTACTAATGCTGGTAAAAGGAGGCCTACAGGTAAATAAAATACTCATATGTATGTATATATGCATGTGTGTGTATATGTATGTGTAGTGTGTGTGTGCGTGTGTCTCTGTGCGTGTGTGTCTGTGTGGTTTGGATATGTGCGTCTGTAGATGTATATGTATTTGGATATGTGTGTATATGGATAGATGAGTTATTGTACAATTCTATACAGGCGCTACATTGAGCAGAGGCGCTGCCAGCGTGAGTCCTGCAAATACAGGTGTGAAGAAAAGAGGTAGGAATATCTTTCTCTACATCACATCAAATCAATAAAACGAGCTCTATTTGATTCCTATTTATTGTATACATTTCCATAATTTATTACAGTTGCAAAGGGTAAAGGCGGCACCTGGCGGAAATCCCGATGGAAACCCACTGTGTTCCCCTTCACTGCAACGCCTGGTCCCCTGAACGCGGCAGCAGAGCTGGAGTCCACCTCGCCTGCTGACTTCCTGGAGCTGTTCCTCACGGACGAGCTGCTCCAGCACATCACAGAGCAGACCAACCTCTATGCTCAGCAGCATTTCCTGGCAAACCCAGAGATTCCGCAACACAGCAGAAAGCATGCATGGAGACCAGTGACCATTCCAGAGCTAAAAAAGTTCTTTGCATTGTCTTTCCTCACTGGTGTTATCCACAAGCCAACCCTGGCAATGTATTGGAACGTGGATGAGATGTTTGTGACCCCGTTCTTCACTAAAATAATGTCCAGGAACCGGTTCCAACTCATATGGAGGTTCCTCCATTACAATGACAACTCTGCAATTGATGTAACTGACAGGTTATACAAGGTTCGCCCCGTCTACGACTACCTGATCAATAAATTCAAGGTAATGTTCCAACCCGGGCAGAATATTTGCATAGATGAGGGGATGTTGCTCTGGAGAGGACGGCTGGCCTTCAAGGTCTACAACCCACAGAAGCCCATAAAGTATGGAATAAAGTCCTATGTGCTCTGCGACTCTGCCACCGGCTACTGCTTTAACCTGCAGCCCTATGTTGGTGAGCCCCGCACGATCCCTGACATTGTTTTTTCTCTCCTTTTTTCTCTCCCAGGTGCCGGCCACACTCTGTTTATGGACAATTATTACAATTCTGTGGCATTGTCTGAGCAGTTGATGGCAGTAAAAACAAATGTGTGTGGGACGCTAAGGAAGAACCGGGGAGAGCCTGAGAGCATTAGGGATGTGACCAAGACTGAGCTGAGTGTGGGGGGGAGAGTCGCGGTGAACAATGGGAAGGTCATGGTTGTGGCGTGGCGGGACAAACGGATTGTCAAGATGTTGACAACATGTCACCATGACAATATGACTAGTGTCGACGTTTGGCAGCGAGGACAGAGGGAGAAGGTGTCTGTCCTAAAACCGGAGTGTGTCGATGCCTATAACTCCTCCATGAATGGTGTGGATCGATTGGATCAGAACATTAAATACTACCCGTTCGTCCGGAAGTCTCTGAACTGGACCAAAAAATTTGTCGCTTACCTGTTCCAAATCGCAATGTACAATGCCTACACTCTCTACAGAGCCAGGAACGGGAACCGGGAATACAAAACCCTCTTGGAATTTATGCAGGGGGTCATGAGGTCCTGGACATTGAAGGTCCAGGATGAGGACGAGGAGGACATCGAGGACGAGGAGGACGAGGAGGACATTGAGGACATCGAGGACATCGAGGACATCGAGGACAAGGAGGACGAGGAGGACCACAACGAGGAGAACGAGTCGATTGTTGCATGTGTGGAGGAAGGAGCACCACAAAACCCCAGGGCTCCAAATAACACTGATCCAGAGAGCAGGCTCGATGAGGGTGCCAGGCACAAGGTGGAGTACCTGCTGTCCTCCGGCTCGAAGACCAGACCCTCGAGGAGATGCAGGGTCTGCATGCGCAAAGGCCTGCGCAGTGAGACCAGGATGTGGTGCAAGGCATGTGGTGTCCCCTTACACAAAGGAGAGTGCTTCACAAAATATCACACACAACAAGATTACACTATATAGACAGAGACGCACGCACGCACACACGCACGCACGCACACACGCACACTCTCAGCCAATCAGCACTTTATGTATATAGTTATTTGTTTGTAATTTACTGTATGTTTGTACATTTCTTATTCTGTGTTCTGAGTATTATTCTGTGTTCTGAGTATTATTTTGCTATCAAAAGCACTTTATTTTGAGTCATTTCCCTTATTTTATATATGGGAAGAATGTTCTGTTGTGTGAGAAATGAATAAAGTAAAAAAAACTTTTCAAAGTCACTTTTCTGCATTGTTTGCTTATTTTCACAAACACCTAATTTTCTCAGCTTTATGTCGGAAACTGATGATTTCTGTGAAAAGTTTACCTTACTCCAATGGTGATTACAGAAGAACTAAAGCCGATAGAAACACACTTATTTTTTCTGAGTAAACTAGAGGGTCCAATCTTTCAGAATATGGTCTCAGATTTAAGCTAGTCATAGCAGAACATATTCTATGGGTCTTTAAAAGTCGGTGAAAATCAGCAAAACGGCTGGCACTGGAGGAGTGATGTTCTGAAAATGTCTGGCACTGAAAGAGTTAAATGATTGTATTAAATTTGTCTATCTGCGGGAGGAAGGAGGGGCCATGCATATAAATAGCTAGGTCACTGGTATTCAATTAGGTAACTAAACTGCAGTTGTTGCATTTGAAAGTGCAGCAGAAAGAAAAAGGGCCCAATGTGAATCTGCAATGGGTTTGAAGTGGAGTTGGAGCTAATGAACGCGTGGAACAGTGATCGTTCATGCGTATCTGCCATAACCAAAGCAGCAAGATGGCTCCAGGGGACGCCTGTTATTCGCATGGGAATGTTTCGGATTCGGGTTGATTTATTTCCTCAGGCTGTTAAACAACCGCGGGCATGGTTCTCTGACCGCCGCTGCTGCCGGTCCCTGCTGCCGTTCCTACTGATGCCTGATCCCGCTGCTGCCTGTTCCTGCTGCCGCTCCTGCTGCTGCCCGTTCCTGCTGCTGCTCCTGCTGCTGTCTGTCCCCGTTGCCTGCTCCTGCTGCTCCTACTACTACATGTGCCGCTGCCGCTGTTCCTGCCGCTGCCGCTCCGCAGGCTCCCAGGCTGCACCCGTCTCTACGGCTCGGCTCTTTCAGACACGTATGTAACCTGGCTCACGGAGACAAGCGGCGCACACTGGCGTGACACGTCTGTTGTTCGTATGAATCTCATTGTGGTGCTGCTGCTCCTGCTGATGCTGCTCTGCTGCTTCATACTGCTACCGCTACTGCTGCTACTGCTACTGCTGCTGCTTCATACTGCTACTGCTGCCGTGCTGCTGCTGCTTCATGTACTTCGACATCTCTCTTCACTTCGCATCTCTTTTACTGAAACACCAAACAGCTACAACAATATTCTACTGCCGTGGCTTTGATACAGGATCATTGCTGTTATTATCTACGGATGCTGCAGCTGCTGCTGCTTCTTACTGCTACTGCTGCTGCTGCTGCTTCATACTGCTACTGCTGCTACTACTGCTGCTGCTGCTTCATTTACTTTGCCATCTCTCTTCACTTGCATCTCTTTTTCTGAAACACTGAACAGCTACAACAATATTCTACTGCGTGGCTTTGGTACAGGATTATTGCTGCTATTACCTGAGGTTACTGCTGCTGCCGCTGCTGCTACTGCTACTGCTGCAACCCACTCTCTCAGAAGCTTATCCTGCTTCTAATGGACGCAGCCCGGCTGAGTATGCCGCGCTGCGCTGGACTCGCACCTATGCTCCCAGGGTCGCTTCGGCGGTCGTGCTTCATCTCTCTACTTAATCTTCTGATCTATCAGATGCAGCTGGCCAAGTAGCTGCGCTGAGCCGTCAATCGGACTCCTAATCAAAGGCATCCATACCTGTATTCTTCACTCTTCTGATCGCAGGCTCCCCATCACGCTGCCCATCCTGCAGCGGCTCTGAGCGGCACCGACTCCGGCTCATCTTCCAAGTACATGTCTGCCCTCCTCGCAGCATCTTCCTGCTCGCCTTCTATGGCTTCTCTGCATAAGCGTTTCACTACTGCTCACTCAACCTTCATGCGGTCCGAGACACGGCTTTCCCGACCATCCTACTATCCTGATTATCTAATCTCCAACCCAAGATTCTAAGCGTAGGGGCGCCTGCAACATCAATGGCCCTCTTCGATATGTCTCTGCCCCTACAGGTCTCCGCTTCTACACGGACGTGCCCCTTCCGTGGGTTTTGGGGGGTTCTTCCAGGACCATTGGGTTGTCGGGCCGTGGCCGCTACCTTCCACCGGAGCATCTCCTCTGCCCTACACGAGATTTCCCAGTGGTCGTGGCCTGCGCGCCGTGGAATCACACGTGGCAGAGAAAGAGGATCTCTGTCATGCGCGATAATCTCGACATAGTGGAAGCATTACACAAAGGTTGCTCTTTTTCACCCAACATAATGTCCCCTGACCATTTCAACCTCCATCTCAAACATTCAAAGACCAAGGCGCCTGCAACATAATAATAGCTCGCTCCGACACATCTCTCTGCCCCTACAGGTCCATGATGCGTTACACTCGCCTCCGCGGCAAAAAGGAGATTTAACGGACCTCTAATTCTCACTCCAGACAACCTTCCCATGACAGCAACCTGGTTCAGAGCTCAGCTAAGATCCCTACTGCTCCTCTGCAATTGTCTCCCCAGCTCTATACAGCCCACTCCTTCAGGATAGGCGCTGCCACGCGCGCGGCCTTGCTGGGGCTCCCCCACACCTCTCTGCAACAGCTGGGGTGCTGGTCCTCTTCGGCTTTCTCCGCCTACATCAGGCCAGACGCGTCCGCTATCCTGGCTGCACAACGTCTACTGGCTTCCTCGTAAGCTCCCAGCAAAGCAATATGAAGCAAAGTAAGTGAAGCAATAAGTTCTGGTGGCGGCACGCACTTTTCTCAAACACTCTCCGCTGCCGCAGCGTCTGACGGAACGTGATGGGAGCGCTCACGTTCCCAGCGCCCAAAGATAACTCTGCTGCAGCGTCCGGTTGATCGTGATGCGAGCGCTCACGTCCCGGCGCTCAAAGATAACCGCATATAACGGTCACAGCATATAGCGATAGCGGTCATAGCATATAGCGATAGCGGTCATAGCGTCAGTGATAGCGGTCATAGCGTTAGTGATAGCGGTCACAGCGTTAGCGGTCACAGCATAGCAAAAAATGGTTAGTGCATAAACGGTCACAGCATAGTGATAGCGGTCACAGCATAGCGATAGCGGTCATAGCATATAGCGATAGCGGTCATAGCATATAGCGATAGCGGTCATAGCGTCAGTGATAGCGGTCATAGCGTCAGTGATAGCGGTCATAGCGTCAGTGATAGCGGTCATAGCGTTAGTGATAGCGGTCACAGCGTTAGCGGTCACAGCATAGCAAAAAATGGTTAGCGCATAAACGGTCACAGCATAGTGATAGCGGTCACAGCATAGCGATAGCGGTCACAGCATAGCGATAGCGGTCACGACGTCTGTCCCCTGCAAACCAGGCTGCAAAACTCCATCAACACACAGCTTTTTTGGGGATTGTACGCGCTCCATCGCAGGAGCCTCTCCGATCTGAAGGCCGCACCGGGGCCTAGGGCGCCAAACCACCTCTCAATAAAATACTCAAAACCATTTTCGTTTCTCGTCTCTCCAAATTGAAATGCAGCTCGCGGAAATTCAATTTGGTAGACGTCAGCCAAAAGCTACCCCCTCCAGGCCGGTTCGCTTCCCCAGCCTATCGCACAGCAAACGCCCCCTTCCAATCATCCGTGCCGGACAGGCAGCCGCTTAAAAGCGGAGAAACTCCCACTCTCGGCCTTCTCGAAGCCTCGCAACCACCGCCTCCCCTCCTCCTCCTCTTCACCCTGCCTCCAATCTGCCTCCAATCTGCTTCCCGCTGCCAAAATGCCGCCACCAGTGCCTAGGTCCCGGGGGATTGTACGCGCTCCATCGCAGGAGCCTCTCCGATCTGAAGGCCGCACCGGGGCCTAGGGCGCCAAACCACCTCTCAATAAAATACTCAAAACCATTTTGGTTTCTCGTCTCTCCAAATTGAAATGGCATTATACAGTTTTATCACTATCCAGAATTAAGAGTCTCAAAATACAGATAGATTGTAAAGGAAAATCTAACATTACTTCCCCATCTCTTATGTTGTTTTTTCTTTTTTATTGTGTTGCAGGTCTCCAGAAGACATTGTGCCTTTGTCTTCGGGGACTGCCAGTCGTCTTGGGGGATGACCCCTCTGCGTTCTTCAAAACCTGCTCGGTAAGTAACTGAATTTGTTTTGAATATCTGCATTATTGATTCACAACATGACCATCTGATATGAATTTACTGTAAAAAATAAATTACTACTACTTACTCTAAATTACAAACAAATTAACATTGTACAAAAATTTGAACTTTCACCTTTGTCTTTCTGTGAAATTGCCATCAGCTAGTGTGAGATGGGGCCACAGGGAGGGACCCCTCTGTTTATTTTGCTGAGGACTGTAAAAAACCCTTACATAAATTCTTACTTTTTGAGATTAAAGGACAAAACTGGTCTTAAATTTGTAACTGCAACAATGGGCTCTATCCATAGCTACTACTACTTTCTGAACATAATGCTGCTCCTTTGTTTCCTGTCTTTACATTATTGGACAAACTGATAATAATCCAGGTGTGTCTGAGTAGTCACAATGGTCAGACACCTGGATTAATCAGTTTGTCCAATAATGTAAGACAGGAAACAAAGGAGCAGCATTAAGTTCAGGAAGTAGTGGATCTGTGAATAGAACCCATTGCATCTGTACTGGAAATTGTTTTTACACAACTTTTCAGCTTGACTGGGACTGACAAAGCTCTCCATCTCTGCTGAGCTACAAAACCATTTCAGCACAAAGGTTTTCAAACAGCTCTTGTAATGCACAGTTCAAATTATGGCGATTTAAAATTGGTGTTGTCCTCTCTCAATTTTTGTGGTCAACACAGCATTATTGACATTACAATGTCGTCTCTTTGTCCTTTTCTTTTTCTGTTAGGATGCAACCGACAAGGACTTGTACAGTGACACTTCAGTGGGAATCCTCTGCATTGACGAACATCCTCAACTCAACCCATCCAGAGTGAGCATCGTCTTGGAAGGGAGTGTGGTAATGGAGGAGCTGGCCAACCTGCCACAGGCTTTCTGTGTCCTTTTTGGACTAATTTATGCCTTGCACTTGGACTACCCCAAGTGCATGAAAAGCACCTTCCACTTTATTCAACAGGTCATGCTAAACCTGGGCAGAGTTGAGCTGAAACCCAAAATTCAATCTTTGAAGAATCAGCTATCTGTATAAAACAGGGTTCTGAATACGTATACCACTGCTCTGGAACTCAGTGCTTGGTTATTTGTAATGTTGCACTTTAAAAATACTATGTTTACTGTTGGCACTGTTTGATATGCAAGTTTTTTATCCATTGCCACTGATTTTGGCATTTTCTTCAATGCTGATTGGTGTATAACTTGTGTTATTAGCGCTGATATAGTTTAATTCCTATTGCTACCTATGTTGTATAGCATTGACATTGATTTTGTAGTTTAATGCCATCCTGATTCATTCAAGAGTCCTATTGCAAACCTATTTTGTTTGATAACATGATAAAGACAAGTTTAATAAAACATGTAGACAAGAATGTACTTTTGTGATTTTGCTTTTATTTTCTTAATTAATTTAATCTGTATGGGTTTCTTTTATATAAACAGATTTTATTTTACTCTTCAGATAGTGAAGTAATTGGGCAAAGGAATTTTTAAGGTAAATCAACTTGGAGGTTAGTGTATTCAGCTTAAAGTTATAAGTGGAATAAATATGTAAAGCAATTGATATTAGTAATGTTTTTAAGTTTAATCATCTTGGAGGTTAGTGCACTTGACTTAAAGTTTTCAGTGGAATAAAGGGGCAAAGTAATTAATATTACTAATGGTGTTGAGTGTATTGAACTCAAAATAAAGATGCCATCCACTCATCTTTTTAAGTTAAATTCACTCAAGTTTTCATCAAACATTACTTAATTTTTTTAGGGCAACCAGTTTCCTAAATTTTTTTAAGTAAACTCAACTTATCCGGGTTTACAGTGTGTCTCTACCAGTGCACGTATGGATCCTCCAAATGAAGAATTAGGTGTGCATCAAAGACCAAATTGAGAGTTGAAAAAGTGTAAACCAGTGTAAACCGGAATATGCAGTGTTTAAGGGCTCTTAATGAGGAACTTTACTCAATTCTTACAATTATTTTACCATGCAATTATTGGGAAACTGTGAGTAATTGCACTCAACAAACTTCTTTAGTTTTATTTTTTTTTAGTTATACAGATGTTCATATTTCATTTTGGTCCATCTGAGGAGCCGTCTACACTAGGATCAGAGAGCCTAGCGCAGATAGCAGGAGACCAGGCAGGACCTAGAGAGGAGATGAAGCCAAGGCCTAAAACCTTGCCTCTAAACTTCTAGCTTCCCCTGTAAATACCACTAAACTTAGGCTATATCCACACGAAGACAAAACGCTTATAATTTCAGAAACGTTTTCTGTAAACACGGAGTTAGCTCAGTAAATGTGTGCGTCCATATGAATGTAGTCAATACGCCTGAAAACGCTGTGAAACTATGCCAGACCTGTTGGTGGCGCTGTGACGCAATGACGGGATCAAGCCCAAACTTCCGTGACGGAAACTGGGCATGCGCAGAATTTTGTAAACAGACAACATGGCGAGTGGGCGAGGTGGTACTTCATTAGTATGGACGGACGATGAGGTTGAACTGTTGCTTCGGGTCACACTGGATTATAAAACCAACAAGCTACAAGAAAGTGTAGACTGGGAGACATGTATGTCCAAATACACGGACATCATGTCGGCCTTTCAGGAGCAATATCCACGCGACTTTCCGGACAGAGATTTCCCACATGACTCCACAGCGATAACTAAAGGCCAATTAACCGCCAAAATTAAAAACATCAGAGGGAAATACAGGCAGGCAGTGGACAGTGGGCGACGGAGTGGCCATGGGCGTGTGGTGCTCATGTTTTTTGAACTCTGCGAGGAGATCTGGGGAGGATCGCCTGCAACACGCTCCATTGAACAAGGCATTGAGACGGCGGACCTGGTCGAGACGTCTTCATCGACCTCGGAGCTGCCCACTGACTCGCCACAGTCGTCAGATTTTGTTGAAAGTCTGCTGCCTCCTCCAGTCGTAAGGCAGCGCAGAGAGATGCTGCAGGTAGGCAACATCAATGCGCTGATTATTTACTATAATTATGTAAGACATAACTGTGTAAGATGACAGGGTTTGACTTTCGTAATGCTTATAACTGGCTCCACATTTGCAGTTTTTCTATTTTTGTATTCCATATAGCTGTATTGAAAACTAAGATTGTGATCAAAACAAATCATGTCTTACTGCTACAGAATTAATGTACATTACTCAGTGAGGCCTGTGATGTTCATTACGTTAATAATCAAGCAAACCTTTGCTATTGTCCTGTTAATAAAATTACATTGTTCTATGTGTCTTTCAAGGCAAAGCTAAATAGCCACAGAGGGGACAGGCTGAAAAGAAAGGTCCCTGCCGATACAGGACAGGAAGAGTTGCAGCTGAAACGGAGGATGCTGGACCTAATGGAGGAGTTGTCAAGACGCAATACAGACAACATGCAACAGATAAATAACAACATAGCAAACATCACCAATACCATACAGGAAGGATTTTCTCTGATGAGAGAACTATTAGTCCAGCCTCTCAATGCACGCCCCCACAGTAGCAGCAGTGTATACCAGGGACACCCACCTTCATACAACATGCACCAGAACTCACACCACAATGCATCACCCTTCATTCACACTCCAAGTGAAACACACCACTCTGGGAGATACACACCAACACCACCACTACAATCACACGAAACTTTACAGCAATATACCCCCTCATTTTCATACACACGAGCACTATCTGAAGATGATTGAGCTCATCTGTTTATTTTTGTGAATTTTGCACTACTTTGTTTAGTTCTCAGGTACATTTTTTTAAATGAAGCAGTTATTTTGTTACAAAACAAGCTTCGTTATACCAGTGATATTTGCAGAGTTTATACTGTGACTATTTTTGTTGCACTTTAATAAAAAGACAGTGTTTGAACATTGAATATAACAATCTTTTTATTTTTGTGAATACATAAGGCAAATTAAATACTTTTTCCGGATCACCCACAAATTTAAAGTAATATTGATTCAAGTTGGAAATTATTTGTAGCTGTGAACATAAATAACATTGTCAAAATAACGACTTCAAAACTTAAAACATGTTGTCGTCACGCTTAACACTTAAGACAGGCCAAACTCTACTCCATTCAAACTAAACTAAACTAAACTAAACAGAAGTAACCATAAGCTCATAGTGGTTTCCCAAATATGTTTTTCAAAGTTGTACAAAGTTAAATACAGTATTGGCAATACTGGCAGTCCTTAAGGGTCAAGGTACTTCATTACCACTCTTCTCACTCTCTTTCCTTCCCCCTCGTTACAGTCAGTGCGGAAATTGTTGCACTGTGTGGGAGGCTGTGAGTCCACCTCTCCTCGCATCGTTCCCATCACAGACACTTCATCTACACCCTCCTTACTGGCCTCACAGAAATTGTGAAGAACAAAACAAGAGTATATGACATAGGGCAGGTCATTCAAATTTATGTCCATCGGCCTTCTCAGTGCTGCAAATCTGGCTTTCAGACGACCAAATGCACACTCAATGACCATCCGTGCCCTACATAAACTCAGGCCAAAGTACTGTTCTTGCGGCGTCGACCCACCGTTGGAGAACTCCTTCATCAGATGAGGCAGCAGTGGGTACGCAGGATCACCGAGAAGGAAAATGGATATAGGCTCCTCATCGTCCACAATCCGCCTTTTAAGAGGCGGGATCTTGCCATTTTTCAGTGACAGATTCAGCTCTGAATTGGCAAAGATCCGTGCGTCGTGCACACTTCCAGGCCACTTGATGACAACATCCATAAATCGGTACTTGTAATCGCACACTGCCTGTACATTCAGGGTGTACTTGCCTTTTCTGTTTATATAGTCCGTGGAGTTGACAGACGGTTGTTTGATTTCAATATGGGTGCCGTCAACTGCTCCTAAACATTGGGGCATGCCATGAGTCTGTTGAAACCCCACAACCAGCTCCGTAGCGTCTTGCTCCGTGAAAGGCAGTCGGACGTACCTGGGACCGAGGTGGATGGATATCGTCCTGCAGATCTGCCTAACGATGACAGACACGGCCTGGCGCGACACACCGAAGGCGTTTGCAGTCTTCCGTAGCCTTCCTTCGTCGCTCAAATAATAAAGCGTCAGAGCGACCCGTTTTAGAGGATCAATGGGTGCCCTCATATTTGTCGTTTGCCCTTCGATGTGCGGACTTAGCTCCTCGGTGAGCGCCACGACAGATTCCCGGGACATACGAAAGTTCTCCCTCCATTCAGCGTCCAGGACAACACCATTCACGAAGTTGTCCCACCAGCTACTAGTTCTGCCAGGTCGCGTCCAAAACCTCCGTCGGGATGCCCTTCGGGTCCTTATCCGCGGGGAATCCAAAATAAAGTAGCGTACTATGTTGTCAAGAATAGATTGCTGTAACCGAAGATGATGGAGAAGAAGGATATTTTGCTGTAATAGCGTTAGTAGGCTCACTTGCTTCAACAGGACACAAGCAACACTGTACGGCGCCATTCTTGTTGTCATTATTTTCTAAGTGCGGCGCATGCGTGCTTTAACAAGAGGCGGGGCGATGACGCAAGCGTCTCAGATACATTGCGGAGAGGCAGTAACCACGGAGCGGCATATACGGAGTTTTGAAATCTTTCCACTCTGGGACCTGGTTTCAAAAATGTTCGTTTACACCCCCCCAAAACGCCGGCCTCGTATGGACGATACACTGGATTGATAAAGTATTTTTGCGTTTAGGCCTGAGCTTGACTTCGTGTGGACATGGCCTTATACACATATATATTTTTTTTTTCTGTGAATATTCATAAATGCACTTTACTCAGGTTTGAAATAATATAAATACATACTGTCAAAATAATTGAACATTTCTCCAGTCAGACTTGGCCCTAGCCTTTAAATCTGCAGTGTAGTGTGTATAAGTGTGTTTCTTCGCAGTCATTTGCCACCAGTGAAAAAGCGCAATATAAAAGTCATGTTTGAAGAGTGTCTTTCTTTACTGGCCCATATATTGAATGTATACTGACCTCAATCCAGCTTCCACAAAGCATAGAATTAATTCTATAGACCTTATCAGTCAGTGAGGGAA